ATTGCACATATAAACAAACCAGAAGCCAGAAAAGTGACTGAAAATTGTATTTGCTAATGGGGACTCTTCAGTGAAGGGATATGTTTTTCTATTTGTGTCCCACAGAAGTCTGATTTGAGACCCTTACTGTTAAAATATTTGTGCTGATGACTTCAGAGCAAGTACAAGTATTCCTAATTAAGTTATCCCATCACACAGTCTTTATAATGTAGTAAATAAGAATGGGTACATCTGATGGATATAAAAAAAAACTGGGTTACTCGTTAGGCTGAAAAGAGTCAAACATATATGTGAATACATCCAAATATGCAGCATAGTAACACATAAGAACAAAAAAGTACAGATGATGTTTATAAGATAGGAGATCTCACTCTGAAAAATAAAAATAATTAAAAAAAAGTAAAAAAGAAAAAGAAGGAAAAGAAGGGAAAAACTATGCTATAGAAAGGACATTCAGAGTGAGGAGACTGAGAAATGTGACCAGATAAGACCTGCAGGGAGGTCACGGAGACAATGAGTACCTTGGTCCTCATGAGAAAGTCTGGGGCACTGGCACTGTAAATCCCAAGAGGAACATGCATGGTGTGGCTGTGAAGTGCTCTCCAAGCACCTGAAGTGGGGCTGTTTCAGGGGATATTTTTGAGTTAGACCTCTGGAGAAACTGTTATGATGGGAAAGTTTCTGTGGTGTACAAGGTCACGCAGAAACATAATATCCCTGAAAGAAACTCATGAACTGAAAGAAACTCATGAACTCTTCTCCTGGTAAACTGACAAGAGCTCTCTGCCAAGGCTAGTCAGGAAGGTAGCCATGAGAATGCCTTCTCAGTGATCACAGCAACAGAGAATTTCAGGCTTGTTATTTCTTTAAGAGGAAAGTGGCCTTTGGATGATGCTCATGTTCTTAGGTACAGGTCCTGGAAATTCTGGGGGAAGGAAAGGGCAGCATGCATTAAGGATATTGATTAGGCTGGAAGGCCATGAAAGTTCTGCTTGTGCCTCAAATAAATGTCACCATGGAAAGGATCTCCTGTTACTCTCAGACCAATATGATATACGATGGCCTCCAGAAATCTGTAAAATAGGAATATGACAATTCAAACTGTCAGACTTTAGCCACCTTACTCATCCTGGTGATAGGTACTAAGAGGCCAAAAAGGAACAGGCATGCAAAATATTTTGTGTGAGACTTCGGAGCAATGTTTTTCTTTTATGTGAATTTCTGTGTCCTCACCTATCACAGAGTTGTTAAAGAACTTTAGACCTGGTGATAGATTTGTGTTGGAGTACTGATGCAGAGTAAGCATCAGATTTACAGCATAGAAAATTTCCTTTCTAAGCTTAAATCATTCTACACTGTGCCTAGCAGTTCAGCAACTGCTAAGGCCATTGCTTTGAATAGCAAGAAACTTGGTAGCTCCTTAATGTTAGCTTCACAAACCTTTATTTTACTCAGGCTCAGTAGGGTACCTGAGCTCCTTCCATGAGGTAAGAAGTTGAAGTCTGGAAGAAACAACCAAAAAGAAAAAGCTAGTTAATTCAGGGAGACTGGGTGAAGGACTATATGTGCCATTCTGTAGACAGGTGTGGTGTTTGGTACCTCTCACCAAGTTTAAACAGCTTACAAGGGAATCAGAGGCAGCATTGGATGGGCTGGCAGCCAAGTGGGAAGAATGTAAACTTTCCTTTTAGGTCTGTCTATGATTCTCTCTGCCCTTGTATGGGTTTGGACTATGCACTCCTGTTGCTGGGAGACATCAGAAAACTTCAACTCATAGTATATTCTTATTAAGCACTTTTCAGTGTGGAAGATGCAGACTATGTCGTAGCCATTGTTCTTGTTTCTCTCAGAACATGAAGGCATGGGTCATCAAAGCTTGCTAGTTTGCGGCATTGGAAATTGATGGACATCTCTCAGTTGCTCAGATGGATACACTTTAGGTCTGCATTTGTGCTGGAGTGAGCAATCTGCCAGCTTAGAAAGAAACAGAGGCTTCTGTAAAGCTCCTTGGTTCTGCCTTGTGAAGACCAGCTATGGTCTGGATCTGTGTCTGAGGACTGAACACCTCCAGGCAGTGGTTCAGGAAAGGGGTACGCTTGTACCTGTTGTGTGGCAGGAGCAGGTGTGTAGGGTAATCTAGTTACTTTACCAACTATTTGAATTGAATTTGCAATCTGCACCAATGCTGAGTGTATGAAATAAACTCTAATGCAAAATAGATAGTTAAGATAGAATAGATAAATAGATAGTTAAGAAAGAATTGTTCCCCTCCCTCTTCAGCATGCAACCTACCTGAACCAAAACCCTCTCAAAAGACAGAAATACATCTAGGTTTTCACCCTACCACATACTATATAAAAGGCAACTGTAATGCAGATAATATTCAGTGCCAATTTTCCTCGGAGATTGAGTTTAATGTCCCACAGGATCTTTATTTATAAAGAATATATTGAAACCCAAACACAGTGCTGACAAACTTCAGGTTTCTGGTGGGAGCCTGCTTTGTTAGTACAGAAAAGGAGGTGATATTTGACCAATAATGTACCATGAAAGGCCACACTTTGACAGTGACTTTGACCTACCCGTGAAACTCACCTGCCGTTCTTCAATGTGGGGGGATGGTGGAGAATTATTCTTTTTTCAATACAATGATTTGATTTTGCAGGCAGAGATGTAGCCAATCCCTTAATGCAATTCACCAAGTTCATAAACATACACACAACATAGCTTGGCTGCACCAATTTGACAATGATTGAATTCTACAGTATTTGGGTTTATGATTTCAAAATAGGCTATACTCCACACTTGCAAAAGAAAAATCACAAGCAATTTTTGAAACGTCTTCCAACGTTTGCATTTCGTTCCATCAAATGAACAATGTGAGAATTTGCTGGTAATGGCACAGCTGGCATGGCAGCAAATTCAGATCTGATAGGATACTGCTTTAGTTGCATACTCCTAGCCTGGGCTGTGGCCACACAGATGGAACCGTAAAGAACAACCCCGACTAACTTCTGGGACAAGGCTTGTGTCAGGTGACAAAAATGCTTGCAAGAATGACAGACTTCCATATGCGTCACAAGACCAAAACCGCTCAGTATAGAAAGGAGAGTTGGAAGAGGGGAAATGCTAATAAGAGCAAAGGGCATCTGTGAATTTTAGAAATTGCTAGCATCAGATTATAAAGTAAACCTAATGATTTATTTATTTTTTAACATGGTTTATAATGAATCCGTAGTGGTCACTTTGACAACTGAGGACTGTGTCAATGGTTAAATGAGACTCAAAAGTATCTGGATGTTTACATAGTGAATGAGAATGATTATGTTAGGATGGAAAATAATCTTTCTAAAAGGGATGGTATGAACCAGTAGTCTTCTGTTGGAATAAGCTAGGAAGGAGCTTTTCCCATTGTTCCATGTCCATACACATGCACAGTATTTCTGAAGACATGGCTATGGAGGGCACATTTCACTCCTATTTGGTCAGGTATGACAATTGTCATATTCTTACAGAAGTAACTACAAGAAAAATATTTTAACACACAATGCAAAATTCCCATTTTGCAAACAAGCAGAATTCTTGCTTCTGTTTTAACCTTGTTGATGGATGTGTCATCATACAGAAATCCTACAAAAAAATTTCAAAAATTCAACATCATTCACATAATGTGTTTGCCATTCTGTGCTAAACCCTACAACCTTCTTGCCTTTAATGTGCAATTCTTATCAGAATTTTGTGGCATACATTCAGGTATGCCAAAACACGCACAAGTAAATCCAACATCTCATCAAATAGTCGGTTATCCCTTTGAGCCTATAACAAATAACAAAGCTTTTTCTGAAAAGCAAACATGCCTTATAAACAGTAGTTAAAAACATGCATAAATGCCCTAAGACTTTGGAAATGCCTTTGTAAGTAGTATTAGACTTCCTGTTGCAGAATGAGCAACACAGAGAAATTCAAGATATGTTAGGGATAAGTCTGTACCTTCAGTAGGTTTACAAAAGTCTACTGTTTTTAGATCTTCTTCATTGGTGTGAAAATGCTTCTCCCTGGAAAGAAGGGTTGATAAACACTCTTCAGCTACAGATTTTTTCTCTTTCTGTTAACATCTCTGCCAACAGACAAATTTCTCATTAGGAGTAAAGATGTCTAGATCTCTTAGATGTCAGAGACCGTTAAAACCTCTGATGTGATTTAAATCCATTGTATGCTACATACCGGTGCAATGTCTGCTTAATACTGTGGCCTTATCAAGCCTGTTGACCATCCACATTCTCTGGAGGCCCGGGATGATAAATATATGTGGGCATCTTTTCTGAGTACCCTGCCAGCCCAAGCATAAGAATTGGACCAGATTAAGAAGTTGCTAATGATGATACACACCTGTGTATTATATCCAAGTTCAGAAGAGATCTTTGAGCAAATTATTTATCAGAGATGCCACATCAAGCCTGGAATGATGGGCATCTCTAAAGCTGAAAATCTGACAAGTTATGGCACTCTTATTGTAGACTCACAGACCCTGGAGAGTGACATGTTTGAAAAGGTTGAACCAAGGTAATTATAAATGCTAAAAATTATATGTAACAAAGAAGACTAAACCAGCTCAACTGTTTATGGGGTGACAGGCTGTCCTATGCTAGGTTGTGCACAGCAGAATTATTAACAGAGAGCTGAGTATGTTGGCATTTGCAGAGTAAAATAAATTATGATAAACTTATCTTTATTATTGTAAGCAAATATACACTTATAACAGTGACATATAACACAATGCATAACTAGATTTACACTGTCTTGACACAAAATGGATTTTATAAGAATTTCTTGTGTGGAATGTTACTGGATATCAAAAGGAGAAAGAAAATGCAGCAAGGGATCTTTCCCTGTAAAGTGGAGTAAGCCGGAAAGCTTCCTGAAAATGCTCAGCACGTCAGGCCACAGGCATCAGAATAGGAAAACTAGTTTGAGTAGAAAGGAAATGGCTCAGTGCAAGGTAGGGGAGAAACTATTTAATGTAGGTAACTTTGCCAAGGCTGGCAACAGTTTCAGAAAAGAATTGGAAGAAAATTTAATTATATTTATAACTATCATATTTACCTAGGGTTCCTGTTACTTGTCTCAGCTCAGATTAAATATCTCTCAGCTCAGATTAAATATCATAGACTGGAGGTGACATTCAATGGATGTTGGAAATTGGGGAAGTAAAACAATTTGAAAACATGAAGAATTAGTATCATATTATGGCTAAGAAAATAGTCATATAGGTCAAGTCCACCTGAACAAAATGGCAGGTGTATGTATCTGTTTCCAAGGATATCTCTCTGACTGTTCCGTGTGTTGGACAGCACACCATGAGAAGAAGAACAAAGGTTCAGTTTCACCCCTGTAGGCTTTAGCTCATCATGACACGATGTGGATTTCTGTGTGCAACAATCTCTCCATGTTTCTTGTGGACCTGGTCAGCTTTTCCTGTGATTGTGTTGGCATCATCAGAGTCACTCCTAGTGTTCAGATGCTTAACCTGTAGGGTTAATGAAGTATGTGGCTTTCAGAGGATAGAGGAAGAGTGGTGTTTCTTGGTGATGGATCTACACCAGCAAAGACATTTCTCTCCAGAATGCCCTGTTGAATGGTCTATTTCTAGCATCCTGAGGGAAGAAAGCAGGGAACAGGGTGGTGTGCCCTAGACTGACCCTTGGAATTTAAGAATGCACATAGCAAGAAGACAGTTTCTTTGCTTAACAGTGCATAAGCAGCTACACTTCACCCTATATTTAAGTTAGTGAGTTTACTTCATGGCATCTGTGTGACAGCAGCCAGTAGTCTAAAAACATCTTGTGTAAAGTTATTGTGTTATGTTATCTGATGTGATCTGATTTGGGTGGCCCATGGCCAATGAAAAGGTTATAGAACAAACAGTTGACTTATAGTGGTGCACTTTCTGTCATCTCTCCTATATATGTTCTCTTTCCTCTGCCTTCTGGTGGCATAAAAGCATTGAAAACCTCTCAGGCAGCTGAAGCTCAGTCAGTGAGGGCAGTAAAGCAGTAGGACAGGCTGCCAAAAGAGGTTACACAACACACCCTCATTTGGATAAGGCAGAGGCTTTAGGGACACAGGGGTCTCTGGCAGAGAAGCACCCAGAAGTGCTCAACACCCTCAGAAGATCTTCAGGGAGGCCTCATGAGCAGTCACTGCCTGTGAAGCACAGGACACTGTTAATTCCACAGCTGACTCAAGTAGCGGCTGAATCTGTCACTCTCATACTTACCAGGTCCCCTGGCAGTTTGGACTGTAAGGGTCCCCAGGGAGCCGTGTCTATTGATTTACCAGCAGCAGTACACAGGAAGTTGTTCAGTAAATGCAGAAGTTACCTGTTAATGATTGTGAAAATTAGGAGGGCCTCACACATCATGTGGGAACAGACAATGCTCTGTTGTTTCAACCAAATGAAACTCTTGGGCATTCAAGGCTTATCTCTAGTGCACTTTCTCCTGTCCCTGAGCCCCCTGCCCTGGCTACCTCCCATCCTCTGGCTGCTGAGCTCCAGTGCTCCTGTGCAAAGCTGCAGCCCATTTAAATCAATTCTGACACCCAACACCTCTCTGTTTTCTCAGCCTGCCTGCCCCAAATATTTCCCTCCAGCCTTGACAGAACGGGTATTCACAGGGCAGCTCCAGAATAACAAGTTTCCATTTTTGAGACGGTTGTATGGGGAGCTTTGTGGTGTGGCAGCTGGCCAACGGGTGATCATTTAGCTGGGGGAGCTCACTACTGGGTAGTTAATTTGACATGCAGAACAGAGTAGTTAGGCTCTCTCCAAAGCGTGATCAGATACTTCTGGGTTCCCAGTATTAAATTATACCTGACACATAACTCCAAACTAGCGGCACTTGAGTGCAAACCTTGACTTCAGTGAGGCTGATCAGCCCAGCAGCAGTTCATTCACTGTGACACAATCAATTTTCTCCAGTGAACTGTGTGACCATTACCTGTTTTACAGAGATATGTGAATTGTGCTAGGCTCTCCTCAAGGTCCACAAGCTGGGGGAAAAAATAGAAAGAAAAAAAAAAAAAAGAAAAAAAAAAAAAGATTAAGACATAGTGGTGAAAAATAGTGATGATGAACCCATAAATATGAGACTGGGAAGTATGGGACTTATTTCAGTGTTAACAGTCCAGGCCTCTGAATTCATCCTTTTTCCAGGAATTACAGCAAGTGTAGGAATGAGAACATCATTGCAGAGATGGATTCCCTCTTTACACATGCGCTTTCTCCATCTCGTTTAGGGCTTGGACTGAATAATCGTTATCACCACATGGTAGCTATCAGGGGTTAGCTGACACATTATAAAAGCCTAATGTAGCCAATATGCATTAGATTCCTAGCCAACACCTGAATTGTTTGCCAGAACACTTTGAGATAGACTGTTCTTGTGGTATTTGTATCACTGGCAAGAAGTAAAAGCAAAGGAAATCTGGAAAACATTTCTCTGGGAAAAAAAATAAAATAAAATCTGTAGTATTGCAGAGTCTGGAGGCAGATAGATGGTACTGAAATTCTGATTGCTTATTCAAATGGATGTGGAGTTCAGGAGTTTTTTGGGCTCTAAGACCAGTGATTCATACCTTCTGATTTTGTTAGCAGTTGTACTGAGCTGGTCCTTTATTTTCCCTGCAATTAATTGGCCGGTCATCTTGCTCAAAGTCTGCACTTCAGCATTGCTACTGCCCTAACTAAGAAAACAGATGGTTTGTGCCTACTTATCTCATCACTTGGAAATCAGAGGAAAAATATTTATACTATTAATAAGAAATGTATTTGCCTATTTCATGTGACACTGACTTTACCTGTTTCGGTGTTGTCTGCAAATTGCATGCAGGATCCCAAGGTCTTTAGGGAGTACTTACTATCTGATTAGGCATTTTTAGATTAGGATGACAACTGGAATATAAGCTAAAATAGCCATAAAAGAAGCAGAACAGTTACTTGGGATTAGATTTTTACTGCCATTCATACCTCTCTCATATAGAGAAACCTGTGAGAAGTGCTATACTAGAGTGCTGTGATGGCAAATGGAGAAAAAGAAAATGATTCTACGTAACTGCTGTTGAAATCTGTAGCACGCACTGTAGTGGGTTTACGTGGCAAGGTTTTGGTAGCAGGGGGCCATAGGGGTGGTTTCTGTGAGAAAGATCTAGAAGCCGCCCCATGTTTGGGAAGGGCCCCGTTGTTTTCCAGATCTGAGCCAATAAGCGATGTTGTTTTGTGCCTCTGTGAGAGCATATTTAAGACAGGGAAAAAAAAACGCTGCGCCACACAGCAGCCGGGAGAGTCAAGGGAGTGAGAAACAGCTTTGCAGGTGCCAAGGTCAGTGTAGAAGGAGGGGGAGAGGTGCTCCAGGCGCCGGAGCAGAAGTCCCCTGCGGCCTGTGGTGAGGACCATGGTGAAGCAGGATGTCCCCCTGCAGCCCATGGAGTACCACGGTGGAGCAGGGTTCCACGCTGCAGCCCGTGGAGGAGACCACGGTGGAGCAGGTGGCCCTGCACCGACGGAGGCTGCCGCCTGTGGAAGACCCCTGCCGGAGCAGATTCCGGGCCGGACCTGTAGCCCGTGGAGAGGAGACCACGCAGGAGCAGGTGACCTGGCAGGAGCTGCTGCCCGTAGGGGAGCCAGGTTGGAGCAGTTTTCTCCTGAGGGATGGACCCCGTGGTACGGACCCATATCTGGAGCAGTTCTGGAAGAGCTGCTGCCTGTGGGAAGCCCACGCCGGATCAGTTCGTCAAGGACTGCATCCCGTGGGTGGGACCCCACAGCACAGGGGACGAGAGTGACCGAGAAGGAGCAGCAGAGAAGAAGTGCTGTAGACTGACCATAACCCCCATTCCCCCGTTCCCCTGCGCCGCTTGGGGGGAGGAGGTGGAAGAGGGTGGATGGGGGGGGAGGTGCTTTTGGTTTCTTTCCTTTGTTTCTCACTTCTCTAGCTTGTTAGTAATGAGCAATAAATCTTACTATCTGTCTTCTTATGCTGAGTCTGGTTTGCCCGTTACACTAATTATTGCGTGATTTTCTCGTCCTTATCTCAATCCTTGAGCCCCTTTCACATATTTTCTCCCCATTCCTCTTTGAGGAGGGGGAGTGAGAGAGTGGCTGTGGTGGAGCTCAGCTGCCCACTCGAGCGGAACCACGACACCCACTTACCAGAAAATTCTGATATTAAAAAATATTTTGCATCCTGATGGATGTATGACAAAACTATTAAGCTCTACCACCACACCAGAAGGACTGAGACATCCTGACTGACCTGTCTGACATTTATCACTGAGATGAAGTTTTTCAACAGACCCAAACTGTATCTGGAAATTGAACTGGAATATTTCGACTTCAGGGCTAGATCAGCTTTTTATTTATTTATTTATTTCTCTCCCCCCCCCCCCCCCATCCCCATCCCCAGAAGCTGTGACAGACCTCCTGAGACCCTTTGAGTCCTCTGCATCTTCCCTGGAAAGGGCTTTATTTGAGCTTCCTCTTGCTGTTGCTCCACTATGATTCTCCCAGGCTTTTTAATTTTGGTGAAAAAAAATGCTTGATTTATTCCAATTGTTTCTTTTATTTGGGGGAATATTTGCATTTCTTCCCCATCTGTCCAAAGAAAAACTCACCAAATATCTCAAGCAATTTTTATGAGAAGGTTAATGTAAAACCTCTTTAACCATTTGTGGGGAAATGAGTGCATTTATTTTTAAAACCCTGCGGCTAGATAACTTTCAATGAGGAGTATAAGCATGGGACTAATTCAATTCAGACTTGATAAAAATTAGTTGAATATATTTTTGTCTTTTTTTTTTCTTAATTTTTACCCACTTTAGAAATTTACAGTAGAAGATTGTATATTTACACCTTTTTCCTGGAAAAAAAATAGACCACTGAAGAATTAGTGAGATGAACCTTTACAAATATAAAAAGAACTTGAGTAAGTGGGAATGGAAGGAACTTCTTATCAGACTGATAAAAATGCCATGTGGCAGAATATAAGGAGGAAAGCCAGAGGTAAATGCCTAAGTCCTAAGCATAAGAAGATGAACGGTAAAAATGGTGGTGCATCTGCACATGCTCCAAGCAGGAAATACATGTATTTTGCTGGAAAAGTCCTAGGTGCCATACTAAGAATCCCCACTTCTCAGCTCCTTTTGAGCAAATTTTGATCCCACAGAGCACACACATCTTGGCTATCCAGTAATTTTCACTGTTCTGTTGTCATCTCCAAGAAAAACTATCCCTGAAGTCTCCAGGCTTGTGCAGCCACATTTATAGCAGAGCTTGTGAAGACTACTGATGAGGTCCACCAGAATGGACCTACCTTATTTTGTACACACACACACACACACACACACACACAAAAAAAAAAAAAAAAAAAAAAAAAAAAAAAAAAGTGGTCAGAAAGTCCAGGAGGGAAACAGAAGCAACCTGCACCCTAAATGACTGTCTGCAAGTGCCACGTGGGTCCCCTGCTGGGTGTTAAGTGACCACAGAAATGCACACCAAGGTCAAACCAAATGGGAGCTGAGGAGCTAAGGACTGCTGTGCTGACATGGCCCTTACCCTATGTGGCTCGAGGCATTTGACACCTTTTCCTAAAGTTCTTGTTCCAAGTACATTCACAGATCACCTTTCTTGGAGGTAACTTTGTTACTGGCAAATGTGAGGGGACATGATATCAATGGATAGATCTTTGTTATCTTTTAATTCCCTGCATCATGCATCAGTTTGTCAGATTATGGACCACAGAAGTCAGCAGAAAAGTTGGTGTCCAGATGGCTGAGGAAGAGTTGTCCATTTTCAGTGCTCTTAATGAGCAATTTCTGGAGCTTTCTCTTTCTCAGCGCTTCCTATCAACTCATGACCTACCACTTACTTTTTCCTCCCAATTACTTTAATTTGAACATTAGTGTTTGCACCTTAACCTCTGCTAGTCTCTTTTTCACAGGGAATGGGGAGAGGACACGCATCTGAGTAAAACGCCAGCAGTGGCTGATGCCATAAATCAGAGGGATTTTAGAATCTGATGACAAACCAAATTCCTGTCAGAACAGAGCAGAACTGCCCCCTCCCAAACTGTCATTGAAGCCGGGCCATAAAAATCACAGCTGTCACCAAAGCATGCTGGGCCTCTGGGGGACATGCCATCCTGGGGACTCATCTGCTACATCCACGGCCAAATTCCAACCCCTCAGGCACATTCCACTTGACATTTTGTCACATCTCTTGCTGGTGCATCTGTTCAGGGGCATTAACTCTTCTTAAATCACTTTATCCCTCCTCCTTCCCCCCCCCCCCTTTTTTTTGCTTAGAAAAAACAAGGCTATGGGAGTTGTAGAGGTCTGCAGGGATCTGCAGCAGGAAAAAGAGTCCATACCCTGAAGAACAGGCTGTGGGCAGCCTGGTGGGCAGCCCTGTGGGTAACTAATCCTATAGGCCATGTTGCTACAGTTACTTGTGTTCACATTAATAACAATAACAATAACAATAACAATAACAATAATAATAATAATTTAACTCACAGTCATACATTAAAAATGATAGAAAATCTTCCTAGTCATGTCCACTTGAGCTTTCATGACAGGGAGAGATCTGTTTACAAAGGAGAGTGATGAGTGTGAAGGTGTGAAGTTGGACCATGATGGTTATGGTTGTCCTGAGGTGACTGTGCACTCAGTAGCAGAATGAACTTGTAAAGACCTTGAGGCACTTTTCTTTAACCAGTTGATGGGGTCCAAGTTCTAATATACCACCATGTGCATGAATGAAAGGAATATTTATGTGGTCCACCTGTTTATGAGATAATCACCAAACTTGGCTACATAAGTTCTAGAGCCAAAAAAACTAGCAGACCTTACAACCAGGATGACTGTCTTACCAAGTGGACATTATGCTTCATGGTTATAACTTGTACAGCAGGGGTAACAGACAAGAGACTGTGTCTCCAGACACCAGAGAATCTGTATGTCCTCCAGAGTCACTGTTAATTCAGAATCAC